TGACTTTCTCCGTCCCTGGGTTTAAGACATTTTTATTTTGATTGTGATCATGTATCGAGTAGTATTTAATCAATTAAATAGAATCCTACTCGCAGTAACTCACCAGACTGGCAACCTTTTCCTGCCCTGGGTTTAAGACATTCTTACTTTGATTATGATCATAGATCGAGTAGGATTCTACTTTATCAATTACTAACGCAGTTTCTCACCAGACTAGCAACCTTCTCCCGCCCTGGGCTTAAAACATTCTTACTTTGATTTTGATCGTATATCGAGTAGCATTCTATTAAATCAATTATTAAAACAGTTACTCACCAGACTGGCAACCTCCTCCTGTCTTGGGTTTAAGACATTCTTACTTTGATTAAGATAATAGATCGAGTAGGATTATATTTAATCAATTAGTAACGCGGAAATTCACTAGACTAGCCACCTTCTCCTGCCCTGGCTTTAAGACATTCTTACTTTGATTATGATAATAGATCGAGTAGGATTATATTTTATCAATTACTAAAACAGTAACTCACCAGACTGGCAACCTTCTCCTGCAGCCCAGGGTTCTTGCAGGTTTCGTAGATGCGCTGGAAGAGCGTGTCTACCTTGACAGCTTCTGACCAGCAGACCAACCGTCCCATGGCGAGCCACGCAATCACGTGGACTCGCAACAACATTTGTAGGTATTATAGATACAAGAGCAGTTTATAAAAAGCTTTAAGAGAGGAATATTCTACAAATTTTTAACGTATAAAACTTATTTTTATTTGAAATTTGTTTAAAATAGTAGAAATGCAAGATAGTAAATAAATTGTTAAATGTATATGAAATAGTAAATACATTTAAATGTGTTTAAAATAGGAAATATGTTATATGGTAATATGATTATGCAAAAATTCAAATTTCAACCATTGAAAAGAAATTTATGCTTATACTTATTGGTGTAATATATCAGTGACTTTGAAATTAGGAAAAAAAGGATTAGAACTCATATTGAGACAAACTTTGATCGCTAATTTATCCGATATTTAACCACAATTAATAAATAAATAAGAGATTGTGCTGAAAACAATAATTGATTAAATTTACGTATTTTAGATATTTCAATTAGCCCCTTGTTAAAATATAACCATGCTGTGCCAATATAAGTACATGCATATTTATCTAACAATCTATTTCCATTTGTGTAGTGTCTAGCTTCGAAAGCTGGGAGAACTCTGCACGTCAATTAACGAGTCATTGCCGGAACTGAGAAGCATTTTGCATTTCCCTATTTATACGCGTTGCCTGAACAGCTCATTGATCAGCTCATTGATTTAGCAACAATAGTCAAACTTATCTAATTTACGTTCTGCACATGATAGAGCTAGCCCAATTCAATAATCTTAAAGATCGGATGATCATAGAGAATATTCTTAAGACAGCGATAAATCTGTGTGAGTAATCAAATAGAGTTTATGTAAAGGATTCTGTGTTAGAGCGTTTAGATTCACTGGTCTAATCAGTGCGATTTAGTAGCCTTCTCTGTAATTAGTAGCTTGTAATCCGTTGAAACAATATTACCGGGAACTATAGTCGGAATTTAGGTTATCTAGGTTATCTATAATTTGAAAATGATAGAGATAAGGTCTTAGAAAACCCACGTGTGCAAAATAAATTAGCACTTCCGTGAAATTTGTAGAATGTATGATAAGTTAGCAAAAGAACGAATGAATTGAATTTAAATACAAAATTATGAATTATTTTCAAAACTCTTAGTGATGCTTTTATTACATTAGTTTTTTATGTATTTATAGCAAAAGTCCATATATCGGATAATAAAACGAATGACTTTATCTTGTGGTATATAATATTGGCTCTCCATTCTGGGACTTTGGTGCACAAACAAAGGAACATACACTCAAATAAGTGAGAGAGATTTTGACTAAATAGCGATGAATTTTTCGCCCTTGCATGTGTCCGCTTGCACGGCTAAACGGCTACATGGCTACACGGCTACACGGGTACACGGGTACATGGGTAAACGGGTAAACGGCTACACGGCTGCACGGCTACACGGCTGCACGGCTACACGGCTACACGGCTACACGGCTACACGGCTACACGGCTAAAATGGCTGCACCGCTACACGGCTACACGGCTGCTCGGCTACATGGCTACTCTAAAAGCCCCGCTCACATATTGACAGTTTAATAATTTTTCAAAATCTTTTTTCGCAAAAATTTCTAGGGCGAACGAAAACCACCTAAATTTAGCTTTGTAGAAGACATTAGCTGTTATGGTGGTACTCGATACTAATATATATTAAGTCAGTATTTTTCCTATACTCTACTTCGAAGAATAAGTGCTCTAGATTTGATATTAAAATATAGAACAATCACACTGGATTTCAGATCGTTAGAAGAATTTAAACGCAAAATCTTCCCGAGCTGGCATTCTTTTCAATGCTGAGTTTTTTTCTGAATGTGATTCATGCCACGACAAAATAGTTCATGAGTCAGCTTCTGTTTCCATACAGTAAAATGAAGAAACTTTAGAGAGCAAATTTTTTACAAATGGATTCCATATTCTATTTGTTTTAATTATTTAGCATAATATTCATTTTTGTCATAAGGAACGAATATTCAACCAAGATATTCATTTACATAAAAATGCATACGTAACGTTCAATAATTTAAACAACAAGCCTTCAAATCGTACCATTCTTTATTAAATTCTTAGAAGATATTCGTAGAAGCAGCATTCTTTGTAGAGTACACGGTGACATAATTCTGAAAACCCAGACTTCGTGATATCAAGGACAACGATACGAAGTTCAATACTCGGAACAAATTACAACATCCGATGTTTATTGCTCAATAAAACTGTAGGTCTAATAAAACTATTTTCCGCGTACTCGACTAAACGGTTTACGGTGAAGCTTGCTCCCGTTGCCGCGTGCCCAGAAATGGATAATAATAATCTCTCGTCTCTGGGAATATAGCGATAACATTAACTGCGAACTGAGTTCTCCGTAACGGGATGTACTTTATTCGAGCGCCGATAACTCGAGTATCTTCAGACTTGGGAGGTCAGTAAGCTTTATAAATATAATGATAAATGAATTGTAATCTATTGGGATGGAGTGCACCTGCCGATTTTCCATTGCATATCTCTTGCGGTAGCTGGGAGCTGCCGGAATATTTACAGAAAAACACGTGCATGTTGGTGGATTCAGAAATTTTGTAGGTACAGAGACGCAGGCAATTCAATCTATTGAAAGTGAATTTCAGTTAGAATGTCAGATAGAAAATAACATGACATTTATTACTATATTTGTGCTTGATATGTTAATTTATTGATTTTCAAAACATTGGACAGTGTATATTGCGGCCCACAGGGCATATAATATTGGCTCTCTATTCTGAGACTTTGGTATACAAAGGAGCATCAAATTAAAAATACATGCATTATTACTATTGAATGCACGACGCTGTTATCAATGCTGCTGCTGGTCAGGTACAGCGGATGTACGGCAGCTTCAGCTGTTTGAATAACGCAGCGTCATGAATGACACTGAAAGGAATCTTTTGATGTATGAATGTGGCGCTGAATGTGAAATGTAGCTGTAAGGATACTTCAGTTATACGGCTGCGGATTTGGTATGGATACCATTGCTCTATGGATGCCGCTGCTCTATGGATGCCGCTGCTGTTTAGTTGCCGCTGCTGTTTAGTTGCCGCTGCTGTTTAGTTGCCGCTGCTGTTTAGTTGCCGCTGCTGTTTAGTTGCCGCTGCTGTTTAGTTGACGCTGCTTTTTAGTTGCCGCTGCTATTTAGTGGCCGCTGCTGTTTAAATGCCGCTGCTGTATGTTGTTTTCGGCAGCTGTATGAAATACGTAGCGTTAATTACGTGTATTATTTTAATTACTTTAAGAATATTTTTTTAATTTTTCAATAAGAAAGATACCCGTAGTTGCAACAATTTTTGAAAATATTTCACTACATCCAGATCAACTATATAGTGACCAATTTTATAAATCATCAATATCTAATGGGTGCCTGATTGAATGAAAAATTATAATTTTTATAGCATAAAAACTCGCTGAAAGGTTTCATTTTGGAAATATTATGTACATACTCTGTGAAACTCTTTATAAATCAATATTATACTTTATTCATACATCATATGCATGATATAAAAATTTAGGGCAAGGCTTTACCCTGACCAGGGTGGGATAAAACAGCAAAATGCAGTGTGGAAGCATATATAGAGCAACGTACACCATTTTTGAGGGTGGGCGTTCGAAAAATTTTGACAACGCCCATAGATCAGCGCTGCACTCAAGCTTCGACAATAATGTAAATGTTGAGTGTGCGTCTTAAGCTTATTCTGCCTTGATCAGGTTTGTGATGTTATGAATTATAATTCGTATTATAATATGAATTAAAAACTATTATAATTACTTTTAATACATAATACAATAATTTTTTTTATTCTATTAAACAATGAATGAAACTTACGTTAAATGGATTTTTTCTTATTATTTAAATTACTACATCAAATCTAGTAAAATGGAGGAAAACTCCGCATTAGATAGAGATCTATTGAATAAATTCAAATCTATTTCAGTATATAACTTCACATCCGTTGCGGAGACACTGCATGGCATAAAGTGCATTTAAAAATATTCCATCTAGAATTTCTATTAAAAAATTACGGACATCCTTGGGACCATCTTGAGATATATTTTGTTATATTAATTTATATAGTTATATTTCTATTAAGAAAGCAAGTTTTTTTGATTAATAAACAAGTGTTTCCGCCTGCAACCAAAGCTTGCAAATGGCTGAATTTACCTTTTGGATATTCAGCTCGCAGTTACTTTCTTGGAAATTCCTTCTCGTATTCGGGCGAAGAGTTGATGGATGATGTAATGTACTAGTGGGAAGCCACACACCTGAGCTGGTGCAACTACTTATAGCAGGTCTACCATCACACTGCATTATTATTAATCATCAGTCGAGAAGATGAAGAGTTTTATGCATTTCTTGGCCCTTGCGGCGGCGGTATCTTGCGTCGTCGGCCAGATAATCGGTAAGAATTTTTTTATGTATTTTTAGTATTTTTTAATGGATATGCCCAAATGAGTATTTATTTTTACAGAGCATTCTTCCTATTGAGATAACCATGCGATTTTTTTTTAATAATATCTGTACACTTCTGTTCCGATATTGATTTAGATAAGTAATCCCTCAGTGAAAAAATATTCAAATTACTGTTGATGTAATGGAATTCATTGTATTTTATAAGCACCAATTGTTATTTTTATTCACTTAGTCGTGGATGAGTAATTCAACGTCATTCGAAAACAGTTTTTAATGCAACCTGCCCTGATTCAAATGAGTGGCCTAATGATACGATACACGCGAGCAGTCGAATAAATTGATAAAGTATATACTTGCGCATCCCACTCATTCAGCCGTACGTATTCATGCCGAGCAGTGCAACGTCCCGGTGTCCAATAATGATTTTAGAGTTTTAGCCTCCACAACCGGTGTTTCTGACCTACGAATTTTAGAATCATTGTATATTTTCAAACAGAAACCCAGTTTAAATGCTGCATTCAGTTCCTATCCTCTACAAATTGTAAATAGATAGTACTTTCTCTACATGTTATCTCATTTTTATTTCTGTTATATCTTCGATTTTAGTTCTAATGTCTTCAAGTTTAGGTGAATTGTTTGAATGTGAATTTTACACTACTGATTGTTTGTACCTGTGTTCTAGGTTTTGAACTGACGATGGAGCTGGACTCCGAAACGTTTTCTCTTATAAGAAATGGTGAACTTTTTGGCTATTTTCTTTACTTTTAAATTCCTGGTAAATTTGTGGTAATCCTGATAAGCAAATTCGACTTTAAGTTACGGATAACTCCTCTAGCTTTTATCGTCACTACTGTATTTTCGTCGGTCTTTCCTGACATGAATCAAAAGTTTTAATATATCATCAGATCAGTTTAAACTGTAAATAACAAGTTCACTAAGAACTTTAAATGCAAAAAAGCGCCAAGCAGCCTGATCACATCTTCATCGAATCGAAGATCAATCGAAGGCGGATTTTTCCGACTGGATAAATTTACTCTGAAAGAGTAGTACGAATTGTTATCAGTACGAATACATTACAACTCATATAGCACTTCTTTGTATCAGACTACCCAGATTTGCGGTACCTCAAGGCGTACACGTCTACCGATCCTCATGCAACTCCCGCTCACGAGTTCCTCGACTCCTGCCCTGACCTCGGCGTCCTCGGCCTGGATAATGTCATCAAACGAGTCTGCTTAACCGGACAGTGAGCAAGCATTCTGGTGAAATATGTGTACTAACTAGGGAGCAGTGAGGATAATTAGACTAGTAGAGGGACATGCCAACATTCGGCTGTCTACCTAGCATACATATTACAGCAAATAAGACCTGTAAGTTCTGAGTCTTTTTGCTAGCCGAACCAAACTTTTATTCAGACTGCGACAAACTGCACGTGAATAGCTTCTTCCAGGCATTTGTTGCAGGTACTGAAAGAAATTTAAGTCGATATCAGTATCACCTTCTGCCTCCGATATCATCTATAATAATATTCCTGCACGAATGAATTTCGGAAGCAGGTATTGGATATTGACCCAGTTGACACAATTAATAAAGAGATACTAAAATAAAGGATGAAACATCTACTGCTATGCGTCCGTAGAGAAGCAATTCGCAAGTGCCATGTGGAAAAACTGAAACCCAAAATTCAGATCAAGTAAACAAGGTCAGTATCGCAGTTGACAGGAGCATTATTGTACTCGAATAAAAACAATGAACTTTTTACTTATGTCATAAAGAATTGCATGTCCCTCTGCCCCTCGCTCGAGTTTCATCGGTTAAAAGTGGAAAACTGAATTCGATAACAAAGTTAGATAAATGAAGTAGTCAGGATAAACAACTTCAATAAATCAAGGGCTAGTCAATGATGAACGCTTTATTTTAACCACTTCTCCGTTGGTCGTCCTGAGACAATTGTGTGAGTTGTGGTTGTGCCCGAGTCTGCCGGGCTCACGCGATAAAACTTTTAGAGAAACTGCATCGTATAGGTGAAACTGCTGCAAATCTTTCCCTTTACGGCTGCGCAGCAAGGCACGTTGATGATGATAACGTTTTCCCGTTGATTAGAGTCACGTTGACCAGAGTTCTGTTAGTCAGAGTCCCAGTGATCAGGGTCAAGTTGATCGAAGTCCTGTTAATCAGAGTCCCGTTGAACAGAGTAACGTTGATCAGAGTCATGTTGATAAGAAAAAAACCTGAGGTAACTAAGCACCGATTTTCATAATAGAAGCCTCGGCCATCTTTTTTATTTTATGTATTATTCTAATCATACAACAACACATCATTCCTAAAAACATCAAAATGAAATGAGATGATAGTAGCTACATCCACATCTGAAATGTCAATTCAGGGATGGCAGATTCAATATTGATCCAAATTCCGTTAAGATATAGATAAGGAATATTAGTCACTTTAATTTGTCTGAAGATCGGAAAAGTATTAATCAACAGATTAATTAATTATTGATTATTCAGACGATTTTTTGATCGGTTTTTCACATAATAAACACAACAAAAATTCGCAATGATCTATCAGTAGAGTATTCGTAGAAGTTATTCGTAACGTATGCTTGTTATATCAATTAATAAGATTCATTAATTAATAAATATATCTCTGGTATTTCAGTTGCAGAAGTATCAAATAAGTTATAGAGGAACAATTGATGTAATTCCTGATAGCTATTAGGATCGCGCATACATTTCTTCTATTCTCCCTTCAGTTGGCTCCTGTACTCTTCAATCTCTTACGCTGGTAACGGGACCCGATATCGCGGTATCAACACCTGCTACAACTTGTCTACCTCTACATCTGTAAGCCTAGGATAACGACAGGAATAATACTTTATCTCTTCAATACTTATTCTTGTCATAACATTTACTGTTATATCAGCTGCTATTCAACTTGTCTACCTCTGCATCTGTAAGCCTAGGATAACGACAGGATAACACAATATTTCCTCATTACTTATTTTTCTGAAAATAATTTTTATATTAGCTGCATATACAACATATCAACCTCAGCATCTGTTGAGCCTAGACAGTAATAATGATAACACTATCTTTTCAATGCTTATTATGGTGATAATAGTTTTTAAAAATACTTTTGTAGCACTATTCATCACGTCTACTTAACAATTGTCTCTCAGATATCTTCTCTCCGGTACGCGGGCAGCCCATATGGCATTGACGACGTCTATTTCAACCTTTACAATACATCGGATTATGGAGGAAACGAATTTAAGGGCAACACAAATACTGAAACCGTCGTGGCGTTGGACATGGAAGTTTCCTCCTTGATTATCAGTGGACAATCGCCGTGGACTTTCTTCACGTAAATACATCTTTAATGAGGAAGCTTTACACCTGCCTCGGTAAAGTGAAACCTTTTTCATTCAATTCGATATTGCTCGTTCTGCAGTGTACAGCAAAACCAACTGATTAATGATCAAACGTTTGTGCTTCTACATATTCTGTTCAATTTTAAGCAATAAAAAATAATTAAGCAGCTAAGATACTTGTGCTTGGAAACCTGGTTAAGAGGTTCGACGCACGATGGTCTAAACTATTAATACTCGTACGTACCTCATAAATCTAGGATACGTTCTTCATTAGGAGAATACGTATCTTAGGAAGCGAGGATATGTAGATATGTAATTCATATAACGTGTATACGAGCATGGCAGTAAAAAGCACGTTTTTCATGCAAATAGGATACTACTAGTCTCGTGCAGCGAACATATGCGCATTTCATAAGGACACCAGACTCGTATTGAGAGAGCTACTGCATAAGTAATAAAAATACGGGCCTTATTAAGCTAGGCTTAATGCCTTGCAGGAGAAAATAGCCCCCACAAAGAGGAGGTTTGCGGCTTCTCCAAAAGTGCGTACATGCCTCTTAGAACGAGGATAAGGAAGTCATGAATGCTAAGGTTTTATATTGCTTTCAGGGGCCTCAAGTTCACCGGCCAGTCCGCGTGCGTTCATCCCATCTACAGCTATTCCAACAACGGCATTTCTATGCACTATTACTACGAATTATCGGTAAGACCGTTAAACTTTAGTAGCCGTTGGCCCACTTAAATGGGTTATCTTCACACACATATTAATGAGAGTCAGTCATGCTGTGCGTCAAAAAAAAATGCAAATAAAAAATCTCAACCAACATAGGACCAAACAAATTATATGAAATGTCAAAATTTATGAACTAGCATAATTCATTACGTGTAATTGGGCACTAATTACTGCCACACGTCTATATTGTTTACTGATTTACGAACTAAAGTTATTGAGCGCAATTAATCGTTCTTCGTATAATTAGCCCTTCTTTCTATCCTGCTCTCAAGATCACAAATCTGGGCTTGCCTGACAACTCGATCAGGTCGGTGGCGAGAGGCTGCCTTAGCAACAACGTCTATAGGAACGAACTCCAACAATTCCAGCAGCGGCCGCAAGAAGATATCGAAAAGACCATACGTCGAGAGGACTGATATATTGTGCACACAAATTATCAGTAATTTTATTGGGTCATGAACAATGCTTTTGAATTGAATTAAAACCAAAAATCTTCTTGTTTTATTACCTGTAAGAAGCAGACCATGAAGCTGTTAGAATAATTGTCGAGATTCAATTTTATTGTTGCTCTGACCTAGCTCCGCCACGGCTGATCATTGACGAATTGCTAGCTTGATAAGAAAATGTTCGTTCCAATAATTGAACAAGTATTAATCTAGAATAATGTCCTAATAGGCAATTATATTTCACTTGGATTCATAGTCATCCATTTCAAAGTGGTCGAATCACCAAAGGAATACGAAGTTTTTATCAATTTGGAATGGTTTATTAGAGATTGTGACCAAAAGTTTCAAAATCTAAACGGTAGACTAAATTTAAAAGTTTTTTTAAAATAAATTTTAGACAACGATACAAGTTTCAATGTCTCCCTCCCCAAAAAAATTTTTTTAAGTGATTCCCATGAATACTATTGATGTAATCGCTGTACAGGGTCCGCCATATTTATGGCAACGGATGTTTGCTGTATAAAAATAAATTGGTTTCTAGGAGACTTTTCTTTAATAATGAAGCATAATATCATCTATTAATTCATCTATTTTATATTGCAGAAGTCTAAGGTGTCTAAATTTACTATTACTTATGGCAGTAGATAGAAATTCAATTGTAACACTTCATGAAAAGCGCGAGAGTAATTCAGTCAGTGCAAAAAAACTCCAAAATTCGTAGTAAAACTGTGTGTAAGGTGGTAAAAAATTTCAAGGAAACTGGTGAAACATGCAATCGACCTGGTCAAGGAAGGAAACGAAGTGTCCGAACAAAACAATTGGTCAAAAACACGAGGGAGAAGTTGAGGAGAAACCCTCGTCGCTCAGCTGCAAAATTGGCTGCAGAAGCAGGAGTCAGTCAGACATCAATGCTTAGAGTCCTCAAATATGACCTCAAAACCTCCCCTTACAAGATGCAAACAAGGCATGAACTAACATACCGTCATGAACGAATGAGGTTCGAAAGATGCCAGCACATTCTGGATCTCATTGAGGATGGCACGCTGCCCAACTTGGTGTTCAGTGACGAGAAAAATTTTACATTGAACAAAGCGTTAACCGTCAAAATGACAGAGTTTGGAGTCGGGATGGATCTGTGGCAACTATAGAACAGCAACACGACGTCAAAATCCCATGTCCGTGATGGTTTGGGCCGCGGTAACCGCCACTGGGAGGTTCCCACTCGTTTTTCTCCCCTCAGGAATGAAATCGAACAGTCAGCGATACATTTCGGACATTTTGGAAGCTGTGTTGTTACTTTGGGCCCGTAAATACTTCAACGGCTCACCATGGAGTTTTCAACACGACTCTTTCCCGTCACATGGCTCAAACATGACCTAAAACTGGATTCAGGGTCACATCCTAGCGTTCATTAGCAAAAATGAATGGCCCTCAAGAAGCCCTGATTTGAATCCTCTCGACTTTTCTGTGTGGGCTATTTTAGAGAGTAGGGTCTGCAGAACACCTCATGATTCTTTGGATAGTTTGAAGTCGAAATTGACACGAGAATGGAACTTGAACCCTCAAGAAATGCTGCGTGTCTCCTGTGAAGCTTTCCCGCGTAGATTGGAGGCCGTCATTAAAAATAAGGGTGGTCATATTGAATAAATATGTCTGAGAATTGTTTAGGTAATTCTTATAGCTACTAGCTCATCCAATAAAAAAAAACAATGCACCTGTTGGTTTCCTTGAGAAATAACAAAAAACATGCGTTGCCATAAATACGGTGCACCCTGTACTTGACAAACATGGAATACTTGACAAACACGGAACATGTGCACAAACATGTTTAATGGAATGATTAGTGTAGAAATTAGTAGGGATCGCAACTCTATATGTATTAAAGATTCAAGCCAACCGCCAGAGGGCGGGTCTACACGATAGAGCGGGACTATATAAAGAAAGAGTCGCTGTAGTGAGAGTTAGTTCGAGCGCAGAGCCAGACGAGCGCGGAATCAGTTCGAGCGCAGAGCCAGTCGAGCGCGGAGTCAGTCGAGCGCGGAGGATCTTGCAGCACGTCGTTTGGAACAGTGAATGTTAGGAAACCAATTGTGGTGTTCGAGTCACGTCGTCAAATTTAGACAACATCCGTTGGCCACGCTGTATATCTCCAAAGGAAAACAACGACGAAGAAATAAGGATTCGACATAGAGAAATCCGAGGAGCTACGACCAAATATCCGCTGAGATAGAATTTTACTCCGGAATATCAGCATCTACAGAAGTAACCAAGACCGCATCCCCCAGGAACAACGCACACCAGGGAACGCGGACCGAAGAATTTCGATTGCTAATCTTCGCAGTCACTTTCACCTTGGAAAAGCTGCGCCGTCAACTGCGCCGTGGACTCCATCGGCTCCACAAACTTTGGTGATGTACTCCGGGAAACTGTTAGAAACTGTCATATTTCCCGTAGAGACGGGGATCGTAGAGTTGAAATAACTGGGTAGATAGGTCGGGATAGGATACCTTTTGAAACACATACAATTTCTGTGTAAATTCTGTTTGAGCTTCATATTTTTGTGTGACAGTATAGGACTATATCCCGTGTAAATCGTGTCTTAGCTTCGCCGACTTGCCGATTTGTATGTATTAGCCTAGGTTTCTATAATATAGTAACTATAGAATTTATCTTCATGTGTTATCATTGCCCCCTTTGCTAACTAGTTCGCTGTTTTGACATGAGAACCGTAAATCATCGTGTCGCTTACCGCCACTCTGGCCAAAGCAACCTGACCAATTTCTAATTTGTATCGGAGGATAGAAAATCGATGAGTTAACTCAATAAATTTAGGACGAAAAGTTGTATTTCAGATTTAATCTCGTGGCAAAGTAGAAGTGATTAAAGATCTCGAAATGAGGTAAACAATAGTGAGAATTAGGAAGTCTTCAACTTTATAACAAAACCATTCACAAGTCAAACTATTCAGGTATACTTGACTCTTACAATTCTGAAGCCTGAAATTTTTTCTCCAAATTATTGGTCACATCATTTTATCAGCGTAATTGTTTTTCATTGATGTTAATATTTACGTGAAGAATTAGTGTTTCAAGTGCTAAATTATTCTATTGACAATTGTATAAAATTTTCGTCAAATGAATTTCTCATCATTTCAATTACTACATCAAATTTAAACAAATGGAGGAAAAGTCCGCACTAGATCTATTGAATAAATTCAAATCTGTTATTTCTTCAAATTTGATGCAGAATCACCGACATAATGTGCATAAGAAAATAATTTGTTTTAAAAAATTATGGACATCCTAGGGACCATCTTTTGTAAAAAATTTTTTGGGCAACTATTTTATTAAATTGGCATTTATATTACCAAAGCAAGTCTTTTTGACCAATAAACAAGCGTTTCCGCCTGCATCCATAGTTCGCCAACGCATGAATTTATCTTGTGGATATTCAGCACGTGGTTACGTTATTGGAAAATTCCTTCCCGTATTCGGGTGAAGAGTTGATGGATGATGTTAAGTACTTGTGGGACTCCACACACCTGCTCTGGTGCAAGTACTTAAGGGAGGTCATCCATCCTCCTGCATTATTACTAAGTTAAATTCGAGAAGATGAAGAGTTTCATGTATTTCTTGGCCCTTGCGGCTGCGGTATCTTGCGTTATCGGCCAGATAATCGGTAAGAATTTTTTAACGTATTTTTAGTATTTTTTTCATTGAAGAGACCACATGAGTACCATGCTACCTAATTTTTACAGAGTATTCTTCTTATTCAGATAACCACGCAAAATTTTTTTCACTAATATCTGTACACTTCTGATCCGATATTGATTTAGATATGTACTCTCTCAATACAAAAATATTCAAATTGTTGTTGATGTAATTGAATTCGTTATCTTTTATATGCATCGATTGTTATTCACTTTATCCTAGGTATTTATTAAATCAGTTTTTGATAATCGCATTGATACTGCAATTCGTCGAGAATGAGTAACTCAGCGTCATTCGAAAAGTTTTTATGAAACGTGTCCTGATGCAAATGAGTGGTCTAACGATACGATACGCGCGAGCTCTCGAATAAATTCAGAAAATATCTGCTATTTTTAGGATCAGATAGAATGCATCTATGGAATGTATACCGCAGAGTTTAGACTTTAGACAAAAATAAACAATCTGAAAGTGAAATAAATAACATAAATTATTTAAGTCCCCGGCGCTGGTATCACATTAACCCATTGATTAGCTTTATAATTTCAGTCCATTCAGCGCTTTGATACCATTTATTAGGATCGGCTGGGAACTCCGTTCTAGATTTTTACATGAAAAGCTGGTTTAAATTTAAGATAATTGCACTTAAAATATATGTCATCTAAGATAATGGCCGGTTGATGATACAGTAAGTCACGTTCTTCTCGCTTACTAAATGTTCATACAATTTTAAAATGATATTTTATGTCTTTGCATGTGTTAATAAAACTGTGGTAATCCTGGTATGCAAATTCGACTTAAAGTTACGGATAACTTCTCTAGCTTTTATCGTCACTACTGTATTTTGGTCGGCCTTTCCTGACATGAACCAAAAGTTTTAATATATCATCAGATCAGTCTAAACTCTTAATAGCAAGTTCAATAAGAACTTTAAATGCAAAAAAAGCGCGAAGCAGCCTTACCACATCTTCATCGAATCGAAGATCAATCGAAGTCGGAGTTTTCCGACTGAATGAATTTCTTCCGAAAGATTAGTACGAATTGTTATCAGTACGAATACATTACAACTCATATAGCACTTCTTGGTATCAGACTACCCAGATTTGCGGTACCTCAAGGTATACACGTCTACCGATCCTCATGCAACTCCCGCTCACGAGTTCCTCGACTCCTGCCCTGACCTCAGCGTTGTGAGCCTGGATAATGCCATCAAACGCGTCTGCGTGACCGGACAGTAAGAAAGCATTCTCTAAATTCTGATGAAATTTGTGTGATAACTAGTGAGTAGTGAGGATAAATAGACTAGTAGTGGGACAAACCAACATTCGGCTATCTACCTTGCATGCATATTGCAAATTGCAGCAAATAAGAGCTGCAAGTTCTGAGTCTTTTCGCTAGCCGAACCAAACTGTTTTTAGCGCATTTTCTCATTTATGGATTAAAAAGGCGCTATTGTGCTCGTCATGTCCGTCCGTCCGTCTGCACTAGCACTGTAACATTCACTAAGTGAAGTAGTGAAGCAGAGTGTCGAGTTTTTTGCAATAAACCAGTGAAATAGATAAATAATAGAATAAAGCAGTAATTGGTGTGTGAAGCAGTGAAGGCGAGTGAAGCAGCGAAGCTAGGAGAGTGAAGCGACACTGGTCAGC